GGGGCGGGGGCGGGGCGGGGGCAGACAGCAGGACGGACGACGCGGACAAGACGATCCCTCCTCACCAACCAAAGCGAGTGGATGCACCGCGGCTCAAAAAGAGAGGAAAGCAATAGGGAGGGAGAGAGAGAGAGAGAGAGGAAACTAGATCAATGATCGCGCGCGCGTTTTAAAAGTAAAATTAGCGGGCACTGTTTCCACCACCTCCTCCTCCACCACCTCCTCCTCCACCTGCATCTCCTCCTCTCCCTCCAGAGCAGTGGGTCGCCGACCACGCACTTGCCGGTCCTAATGTTACCTCCCCAGCCAATCAACAGCCCTCCTCCGTCACTCCCTCCCCCGCCTCGGGGAACGAGAGAGAGAGAGGAGTGCCTTCATTACAACTTCTTTTTTATTTTTCCTCCCCTGCTCTTCTCGTTCTGTTTTTAACCCCCTCGCGACTCAACGAAACGACACACGCGCCGTGCCACGCCCCGCTACTTTTAGAAAGTGTCGCGTCATACGACAGATTTAGGCGACGGTATTTAAGCGCGACGGGTGTCTCGCGCGAGGCTAAACTTAGAAGGGCGCGGCGCCCCCCGCGGGCCGGCGAGGGGGCGGGGATAACAAAAGTCGTTGCGCTGTTCGGAGCTGCATGGGCTCAACGCCTCTCTAGCGCGACAGCTGACCTGACGCGCACACATTCTCCCATCTTCGAGGAAGACACGAACGGCGCAAGCAGCAGTAGCCTGCTCAGCGTCGATTATACACGTCGTTTTGGACGAACATGGTCTGAAAACGGACGTCATTTTGGGCCTCATGCTGTCTACTTTATCTACGGGGGAAAGGGGGGGGGGGATCAATCAGCCGCACCGATGGTTCAAAACTGTATGGACACGGATAGGAGAGGGCCCGGCGGCCGGGCGGCTCCATGAGCAGCATATACAAGACACGACCATTTGGGTTGCGTCACTAGCACGGGGGAAATGTATAAAAGTCCTCTCCCCGCCCCCTCCCCTCCTCCTCTGCTCGAGAGACAAAGCTCGCCTCTCGCTAGGGTTGCTCCGCCCGCTCCGCCTGTCGGCGGGCCAGAGGCGGCCCAGGGGCAGCCAGAGGCCGACAGCATAACAAGCGCCCACTTTATTCAGCTCCAACTCATTTTCTACGCGATTTATTTGGCGCGGGTTTTCGATTTTAAGCAAAGATGAGGGAGGAGGAGGAGGAGGAGGAGGAGAGAAGGTGAGAGGGGCGATGGCGGGCGACGGGTGAGCCGCCCGCCCCGGTCCGTTCGCACTGTGCTCGCGTGGAGAGAGAAGGAAGAAGAGGGGGAAGCCCCCGTATGGACTTCGACGAGCATCACCTCACGGAAAATAACTCGACAATAAACTCATTCGTCAGCGCGGTATACACTTGTTGGTGTGTGTGCAGCTGGGGAGAAAAGGGGGCGGAAGGGGGGGGGGGCACGAACCGGAACAGCGATGGGGCAAAGGGACGCCGACGTACAGGGTGGTCCACAGACCACTTTCTTCATTTCGCTTATCCTGCACCGCATGCAGGCGTGCGGGCTTGCCTACCCTACCTCGCCGTTGAGCCTTATGGCCCCGTGCGAGTACCGGGTGTTGCATAAAAGACACAGGTGCGGGCGGGTTTGCCTACCCGCTCTGCCCGTAAGGCGCCATAGCCCCTTGGGTAGGCAAACCC